TTATTTCAGGCGTTCTGAAATAATTGGTCCGGCTGAAATAAACGGTCCGCCCCTAGTATCTAAGAGATTAGGGGTCAATGTCAAGACTAACGACGCTGGTTACACGAGACATGTTTACCTCGGCCATGATATAGTAGAAAAAACAGTTTCATAAGATATTATAGGGCAGCATTGCTGTTTTCAGGAGGGCGGACTGTTTATTTCAGGCGTTCTGAAATAATTGGTCCGGCTGAAATAAACGGTCCCCCCCTAGTATCTAAGAGATTAGGGGTCAATGTCAAGAATAACGACGCTGGTTACACGAGACAAGTTTACCTCGGCCATGATATAGTAGAAAAAAACAGTTTCATAAGATATTATAGGGCAACATTGCGGTTTTTAGAAGGGCGGACCGTTTATTTCAGGCGTTCTGAAATAATTGGTCCGGCTGAAATAATCGGTCCGCCCCTACTATCTAAGAGATTAGGGGTCAATGTCAAGAACAACGACGTTGATTGTACGAGACAAGTTTACCTCGGCCATGATATAGTAGAAAAAACAGTTTCATAAGATATTATAGGGCAACATTGCGGTTTCAGGAGGGCGGACCGTTTATTTCAGGCGTTCTGAAAAATTTACAGATCAAGGAAAGAACAAGTTTAATATAAGACAGATCAGAAACTGTAATACTAATCTTCCTCTTGAAGTTAGTAAAAGTCAAGCTAATCGTGTGTTGTATAAAATAACGTGTCGCAGCGTGTAGTGATAAGCTTTTGATCCTGTGGGCCTTCGTACTTTTTGAGCCACGCCCACTTCCTGTTCCCACGCTCCATATATGGTACCCGGACCGATTATTTCAGCCGGACCATATATTTCAGAACACCGGCATCCCGCGGAACTACGAGACGTGGTTGTACATACAGATATCGCCAGAGGGCGTGGCTCTATACAAGGTAAAGCAGGTGTCCTACTGCCAATATTCATGAACCAAGAGGAGAGAGGGATATAGGACATAAACCTATTTTGAACATATTCCATAACTTTAGACCTATTCCACTGCCGTTGTAATGTTGACATAAAAACAAACAAATTGAAGATTTTAGAAGTACTGTAGATTTTGCGAATGTATTATAACTGTTAGAACTGTAGGAGTACTTCTAAAAAAGAAAATCATTTTTAAGTCTTCTATGTAATTT